TGATCATCACGAAAGACAACACTTTGTTCTTCCGGAAAATGGAAGCTCAAAGGTTCAACTGTCGGGGTCTTATATTAAATTTGAAATCCAAATATGCGTCAAGCAGCCTCACACGCAGAAATGTATCTACCGTCATAGTACATTTGTATTTCATCGACTAATTGTGCATCGCACGGTTAACATTTGAAGTTGTTAATAGGAATGCTTAGGAATCAAAACATTTTAGCTCGCACTAAATTGTGTCAAAACCATTTCTTTTAGTAAAATGTTTTGCTAGTATTTCACCTTGCGATGTGAAAATCATGTAGTCATTTTTATTCATTTTCAAAGGTTTATATAAATTAATTGAATATAAATTGTTTATAATGTCTAAGTAATAAGGTGACTATAAATTTACACGAATTGCATTTTTTCAAACCAATTGTCTCTCTAAATAGGTAAAATAAGGGAGTAAATTATGTGAAAGTGTGTTATGTAATTCTCGAATTATACTTGAATCTAAATTTGTGGGAAAATGTTCAAATAGGGGCTTCTACTGTTTCTAATATCCAAGTATAATCTGGTTTGGTTTGTTTAAGTTTGGTTTGGTCTGAGACTGAAATAAATGTAAGTATAAACATCTCAAGTAATATGGTGACAATGCATTTATACGAATTGCATTTTTTACACGAATTGCCAGGGTAAATTGGCAAATCAGGGGGTGTGCAAATATGTGAAAGTGTGTTATGACATTATTAAACAACACTCAAATATGAATTTATGAGAAAATGTTTGTTGAGTCTGTATATGAAAAGTAATACTCAATATATATTAATTGAAGGTAAAGTATTGATGATGACTGAGTAATGGGACGACTTTACATTTATACGAATTGCGTGGTTAGACGAACTGCCTTTGTAAATAGGCAAATCAGGGGGTGCAATCATGTGAAAGTGTGTTATGTCATTCTTAATTATACTTAAATATATTTTTTAGTGAAAATGTTCTGCTTTGGTTTGTTTAAGTTTGGTTTGGTCTGAGATTGAAATAAATGTAAGTATAAACATCTCAAGTAATATGGTGACAATGCATTTATACGAATTGCATTTTTTACACGAATTGCCCGGATAAATTGGCAAATCAGGGGGTGTGCAAATATGTGAAAGTGTGTTATGACATTATTAAACAACACTCAAATATGAATTTATGAGAAAATATTCTTTGAGTTTGTATATGAAAAGTAATACTCAATATATATTAATTCAAGGTAAGGTATTGATAATGATTGAGTAATAGGACAACTTTACATTTATACGAATTGTGTGGTTAGACGAAATGCTTTTGTAGACAGACAAATCAGGGGGTGCAATTATGTGAAAGTGTGTTATGTCATTCTTAAATTATACTGAAATATATATATTTTTTTTGAAAATGTTCTGGTTTGTTTAAGTTTGGTTGGTCTGAAACTGAAATAAATGTAAGTATAAACATCTCAAGTAATATGGTGACAAAGCATTTATACGAATTGCATTTTTTTACACGAATTGCCCGGGTAAATTGGCAAATCAGGGGGGTGTGCAAATATGTGAAAGTGTGTTATGACATTATTAAACAATACTCAAATATGAATTTATGAGAAAATGTTAGTTGAGTTTGTATATGAAAAGTAATACTCAATATATATTAATTGAAGGTAAAGTATTGATAATGACTGAGTAATAGGACGACTTTACATTTATACGAATTGCATGGTTAGACGAATTGCCTTTGTAAACAGGCAAATCAGGGGGTGCAATTATGTGAAAGTGTGTTATGTCATTCTTAAATTATACTTAAATATATTTTTTAGTGAAAATGTTCAAATAGGTCGTTCTACTATTGTAGAGGACAAACTTAGGTCTTTTTGAAATAATTACATAATAATGACCAAAATAAAATTTATTTATGAAAGAGTGGTCTCTTAAATGTGGTTACTATAATAGTTACTTTAGTCACATAACTTATGTTCAACTTTCACATTATGTGAGAATAACATTCTATTTATAGTAATTTTAGTCTTTTTTTGTAAATTACTTTTAAATTTTCAATGAACGTTTCGGTGGCCGAAGGTTTCCGATATTGGCTGGCCGGTGACAGGTGCTATTGGGCGAGGTCGTGGGTAGGGGGGAAGGTAACGTACGGGCAGAGGTGTGTACATAGTTAATTGGGTACATTTTTAAAAAAATGATAGTAGTCATATTTTTATCTTTTAAATCGTAGATATAATATTTTGTCATTTTCTACTTTTTTTCTTTAACTTATTACGTAGTAATAAAATACCATATATATTCCAAATATGATTTTCCCATATTTCAACAAATTCAGTCAATTCAATGGTTTGAACCAATTTTTCGTCAATTTAAAGAAATTCAACCAATTTAAATCAATTTTTCATGATATCCTTCAGTGAAATATTTATTTTTTATTTATATTGACAAATAACCAATGAGTCATTGATGTTGATGTTTTTGGGAGGGAACAATATTCATTAAAAATCTTTTGCTTTTATATTATAATAGTTTATAACACATTTCAACACGCGAAATCAAAAATCATTTGTGCCGTAAAAAATTGATTGATAAGATTGATATGTCGAAAAAAAGAATGATCAAATAGGCTCTTAATGCTATTTAAAATACTTATGTATAGAAAACTTTTTTATTTAAAAATATTATCATACACCCCAATTACTTTTTTGTTACTCCGTAGAAAGGTTTTGTTTTGAAAAAGTTATGTCCCCGTTCAATACTGATTCGGTCACTGTTTCGTGAAGTATCCTGCTATTTTCAATTGGGCTTTGAGTCTAACCCTTGTTGTTTGGATCAAGTATAATTTTGCTGAAAAAATAGTGAAAAATTAGCATCACTACATTTCTCGTTCATATTTTTCCGAATACTAATGCTAAGAATATTGGTGGTGGCTGTTGACTATTGTTAGAGTTTAATAGGCAATTTTAAAAAGTAGTCAACACTATTAAATAAAAGTGTTCACAAATCATTGCCCAAAAACAAATGTTTGAGGTGATCTTCTTTAACAATTCATTGATTTGGAATTGGTTTTTGAGTTTACATGTTGGCTGCTTAGAAGTTAGAGAATCGATGACATCACGGTGATACTCCCAAGGACGAGGTCACAGGTTCGAAACTCATCCCAATCAGGGATGTTGGCATTTAACAATGAAGTATTGAACAGATACTATAAGATAGACAAAAAAAAGTATAAAACTTTTTTTGAAAAAAGGTTTAGAAGTTGTGAATTTGACTTTTAAGCATAAAAATCATCAGCATTATTACTGAGCAAAGAGTTTAAATTTTGGAAATTTTAAGGCAGGGCATAACCCACTACCCTTTCATGATGTCAAGGCAGATGCCACCATTGTTATTGATATTAGGGGAATAATAGAAAATTATCACCAAAATATTATATCACGACGGGATATAAAAGTAAAAAGCAACTTAACATGATCACATAGTTCTCTCTTCCACAAACTATAGAAATATAAGGATAATTACTATGGAAGGATAATTAAAGTATTAGTCAAGCAAACTTTTCAATCGCGATGTTGGTAGTAAAGCAAAATTTATCAAACATCGTAAAGGGTTTGTCAAGCAAACTTTTATGAAAGGATGAATACTCGATGTAACAAACCAAAAATATAGCCTTGTTTAATTTTAGTCCAATGTGTGCTCATTCATATTAGATAGATTATGTCATGCCCCAGACCGCATCTAAGCGTATATACAACCGCCGTATGCAGTGGCGGATACAGAAAAATTCGTTATTGGGGGCACCGCCAACATGCATATAATAGTGGAGCTACTCTAAGAGCCCGTTTGGTAATACCCAAATGGGTTGTATTAGCCGATTCTATTGAAATTTATAAAATTCTGGCTGAAGTGGCTTGATTGGCTTATTTTGCTGATTTATGGGGAAAAAATTAAAATATATTTTATTAGTAAAATAAAGAAGAAATTATATGAAAAACAGATAAAATGATTCTCTACAGTAAATTCAGCCAATACAGCCAGAAAAGTAACTAAAAACCTCACTTTTTCTTATTATTATACGGAGTACAATTCAACGCTAAATCAAAAGTTGAGTGTTTGGCCAAAAAAGCTAGCTAATCTGATAAGCTGAAAAACAAAGTCATCAAACGATTCTAAATAGTGCAGTACAAAGTGTATGCTTTGAGTTAGTGGAATAAAGCCCCAAATAGGAATAAAATAATTCCAAAATATAAAATGTGATTATTGTTTTGATATTATCAAAATAAGAGTAATTTATACTCTCTCTTCCTATCCTACGCTTACTACTAAGAAGATCATAGTCCTTTCGTCCCATTTTAGTTGGTCAAACTTGATTTTTTTAGTCAATAGTGTTTAACTTTGACAGATTATGTATTTTAAATATAGATCGAAGTATTGAGAATATGAAAAATGACATGAAAATGTTATTTGTTAAAAATAATATCATTAAACTATAAAATTACTAAAGTAATTGGTCAATGTTTCCCATCTTTGACTAAAAAGGTCAAAAATGACTAACTAAAATGGGACCAAAGTAGTATATAATAAAAACTTAAATAAAGAAAACCACATAAAGAATTAAAAACTAAAACACTTATAAAAAAAAAAGTAAAGGCTCGCATGTTCTTTTTTACGTTTTTAATTTTTGATATTTTATTCTTTTATGATTTATTGTTTAAATGAGAAAAACTTATTAAAATATGACATGTGTAGGATACAAAGAGTTGCTCTTATTTTGAAAATTTAAAATTTAAACTCCTATTTGTACAATATTGCTTTTATTTACTCGTATTTATAAAATATTCCAAACAATAAATATTTTAAAAATAACAAACAATTGCTCACTTACAATCTTAGGTTACCCAATAATTACGTTGCTTTGTTCTTGGCGTACGTGAGGCATTCTCCCTTTCTTATTGGGGGCATCAGAGTTTTTCTATTGGGGGCACGTATGATTATACTTAATAAAATATCATTTTGTAGAACTAAAAACATAGACTTTGTTGGGGGCATGTGCCCCCATTAAGATAAACGTGCATCCGCCCCTGGCCGTATGACTGAGTGACGTCACTCACAAGTCAACACCACTTAATCATACAAGGAGCCCATGAATACAGATTGCGCAACATACCAAAAGAAAGGGCATAACTGATGTTGGTTGTCTTTACCATAGATTTTGCCAAACAAGGTGTGATGTCACAGCCAACAAAATGGCACATGGAAGAGCATAGCCCTCATATAGATTGGTACAATGCGAGTGATGACCTCCTCACCAGAGTCAAAAGAGCATAGCCCTCATCGATTGGTACAACGCGAGTGATGACCTCCTATTAAACAACCAACAACACCAAGGATCAACAATGAGTTTATAATTTAAGTCGAGCAGATCACTGCATATTGGCGTCCTCATAACGCGAGTTTTGGAGAAGGCTACCATCTCAATTAACATTTAACAGTTTATAAGTGATTCATTTGTCATTTTTGACAAGAGGCCACTCTCAAGACTTCAACTTGCGAGGGACCCAAACAAGCTAAGCAGGTTCAAAGATTTTTTTCAAGAAAAATTTAAAAGTTACAAATTGGATTTATTCCCCACGAATTACACCAATTAATAAAAAGCCTTTTGATTTATGCCTAACAAATTACACTAATATTTAAAACATTTTTAAATTTTGGGATGGTCTGGGGCCAGCATGGCCCCCTAACTCCGCCGATGCTTTTGGTGACACACCAACACAATAACCAGAGCCAACGAACTACGAGAATCTTTAATGGTGCCACTTACCAGTAGTGAGATCACTCAAATACAAGGAAAGAACATCCTAGTTATTAGCAATATACATGGCGGGGGTACAGAATTTTTGAAACATGACCTCCGTCACTTTTTCACAATTAGCATTAGGGTTAATTAAGAGAAGCTTCAGTTAGAACGACTTAGGAGCACCAAGTGCTCTTCTGGAGCAGCACAGAGGGAATCATAAAATGTGTGTGCCAGAGTTTCTCATGTCATCGCATTTGGTAACAATACCATACTCAATTGGGTACCTCGGCATCAAAAGTTGCTTATAAGGTAAATATTTATGAATGCTGGTATGGACCATCAAAATAGAAAAAAGAACCAAAATGGAGATTCATATTCTATTATAACTTCAAAGCTCACAAAAACAAAAAGAAAATTAACTTATCACCAAAACTGAGCACCCCAATGCACATTGGCGTCTCCCCAAGTTGAGGGTCCAAGAAAGAAACTCCAGCTCAAGGGTGTATCAGGGGCCAGACTTCCTTTATCATCTTGACTATAGGCCTCTCTCAAGACTTATCATGACCTATCACTTTATTGAGCACAAAATATCTAAAATATCATTTTCCCATGTGAACATAAAAAGGAAACGTATATGAAAACAATGTTTATCGAAGAATTAGAAGCACTTTCTGTGCACAATCGATGGACCGTACTCATTGTACTCAGTTCCTTTAATCCACATCTGCACAAGGAAAAACTCAAATGTCATAGTGGACAAAGCACAAATAAACTAATACTCCCTCCATATATCCCGCTAAGATTATCCTAGACACTATTCACTTGGTCAACACAAATCACACTTAATGTCTTACTTTATATATCAATTTTTTCATCAAATTTGATTCGAATTTTTGCGACTTTGTAAAATGTTTAATATAGTTTCAGAATATGTAATTTTTTCTTTCTAAAAATAATTGGAGTGCGGACAGACATCTGTTTGCTTTATCGTCGGTCAAAACATCTTAAACTGAATTGTCCCAAACTTAGTGGGACGGAGGTAGTATCGGATAAAGCAGCGTGCGTGCAAGCATGTGAGTGTACTCCTTTAGCAGGTTCCAGTTAGACTCAAACCTGTTCGAATGAACTGAGAGAGGCTAAGATGGAGCCTCCAATCCAAGCACTGTTTTGCCTCTCAGGTGGTGCCACAACCTTAATCTTCATGTTGCTACGGGCCAAAGAAGTCATTTCTTTGGTCATTCTATCAATAATGCCAGGGAACATGGTATTACCACCACTAAGCACAATGTTACCATAAAGCTCCTCCCCAATATTAGCATCACATTTCATCACAGAGTTGTGCATGGTCTCATGAATTCCTGCAACATCCAATCCAATCATCGAAGGCTTGAAAAGTGGCTCAGTGCAACGGAACAGCTCAGCACCCATAGTGACCTTGTTCCCATCAGGAAGCTCATAGATCTTTTCCGCCGTAGAGCTAGATTTTGAGGTCTCCAACTCCTGCTCAAAGTCGTGTGCTATGTAAGCAAGCTTCTCCTTGATGTCAACAAAATATTCTCGAAACCCTGTAGTGGTTAGGTAATGCTTTAGGTGCACCACAGGCAAGACCATTACACCCGAATAGAGCTTTCATAATATTTCATGTAATATATTTAGGAGAGAATTGCATAGTTTTAAATTCCATAGTATGACTAATTATGTGTATTTGGACAAATATACCCCTGTAGATTTTTGGACTAAAAAATATTTAATAAAATTGATAAAAATAAAAAAATAGAAAAAGAAAAATAACAAATTAAAAGGAAATAAAAAATAGAAAAATAAAATAAAAATTAAAAAATAAAGAATAAAAAAACGTAAAAATAGACACTGATGCCTCTGCCACCCCCACATCACTAGCTCCAATCACAAGAGAAAAAAATGGAAACAGACAATAGTAATGCCATATTTATGGCAGTTTCGATGAAAATGTTGGCATTATCAAGAGACATAATGCCATTTTCTTGGCATTTTCAGAAAAAATGGCATTTTTTATTACAAAAATGACATTTTGTTTTACAAAAATGACATATTTTTTCACTGGTAGGAGGTGGTGGTGGTGCTAGAAGGCGGCGGGCGGGAAAGGCATCCATATTTTTTTTTTATAGTTTTTTACTATTTTTTATTAATGTTTTTTTCAATATTTTTTGAAAAAATTATTTTATTAATTGTTTTATTTTTTTACCATTTTTTTAGGATTTTATTATCAATTAATACTCTTAGGGGTATTTAGGAAAGAAAATTAATGTTTAGTCTTATTTGTGAATAATTTAGGCTTTAGTCCTATTTGTGAAATTAAGTTTCCATTTAATCCTACTTAGGTCAATTTTTATATAGTTAAACATTGTTTGCTAGAACTAAATTTGGTTGGTATCTTCTCAAATTGTTTAAGTTATAGGAGAAATTGATGGATTGGGAAAATTCTTTTAAATTATGAAATAATTAAACTTTTAATTTTTAGTAAAACATAAAAAAAGTAAATGAAAAAGATTAAAGGTTCCCAATTGATTCAATACAGCCATAAAATACCTCCAAACTTACTTTGTTCCTTTACTAATCAATTTAGTATATTTTGTCAAAAAACTGACTTGAAAGCAAAAAATCATGGATACCAAACGGGCTCTAAATAATGAGTGTGACATATGTAATCTTGGTAGTATACTTTTTATCCGTTTAAAGTGAACTAATACTACAACATGTTTCATAATGATACTAGTAATACTTCATTATTACTATCCAAATGATATACTATAAAGATATGAATGAGTGTAGTAACCCAACTGTACAACATACGAAAGTTCTCGGAGTAACCGTCACTTCTCTCCCTGAAAAGATTCACCAAATGATCCGTCAAGTCACAACCGGCAAAATCAAGACGAAAGATGGCATGTGGGAGAGCATAGCCCTCATAGATGGGAACTGTGCAAGTGACACCATCACCCGAATCCAAAACCATACCTGGACAAGGATTGATAGTAACTAACACAAGGTTCATCAATGTTAATGTATAAGTTTCTTTTAAAGTTAAAATCAATTGAAAACTATTATAAATTAGAAGGAATTGAAGAATCTGATCAACCATCAATTGGAAAAGGCTTACTTACCTGTGGTACGACCACTTAGATATAAGGCAAGAACAGCCTGAATAGCAACATACATGGCAGGCGTCTGGAATGTCTCAAACATAATCTCTGTCATTTTTTCACGATTAGCCTTAGGGTTCAGAGGAGATTCGGTTAGGAGCACGGGGTGCTCTTCTGGAGCAACACGAAGGGAATTATAAAATGTGTGGTGCCATATTTTCTCCATGTCATCCATATTTGTAACAATACCATGCTTAGTTGGGGACCCCAAGCGTAAAATACCTCTCTTAGCCAAAGCTTCATCTCCTACATATGCATCCTTTTGACTGATGCCTACCATGACACCCGTATAGCGAGGCCGACCAACAACGCTAGGGAAAACATCTATTGGAGCATCATCTCCCGCAAGCCCAGCCTATAAATTGGACCATGCATTATAAGAAGGAACTACTTTATACAAGAAAGTAAGATTGTGACGAATGATGAGTACCTTGGTCACTCTAGACCCATTGTCAATGACAATCGATTTAACCTTAAATGCTCCTTCCATCTTTTGTCACCTCCTATGGAAAAAAAAAAATTGATAAGTCTTTAATCTTTAAAAAATTATAAGAGGGAATGAGAGTAAGGGTTTTTTAGATATGAAAATGTGTTGATAGTAACTTTGTGTTTTAATTATTTGTACACCAAGATAAGCCCATTATACGTGTTTCTATTAACTTTCATTTCTAGGTTTTCTTGATTGAATAGTAGACTACTTAAAATTAATCAAATCATAAATTATTTTTTATTGATTGCTTTCTTTAGGGGGATGACAGGGATTGCGAGAGAAGAAGGAAAGAAATGTGGAGAAGCGCTTTCTCCGGTTTTTCCCAACCGAAGTATTTATATCAATGGTGAGGATTCAGAAGGGCATTAGAGAGAAAACGATTGATTGCTCCAAATGAATCATGTTATCCGGTGGGAGTGGCTTATAAATTACAGCACTGGTTGCTAACCTTGGGGATTCTCCGGGTATATCATTGGTGTTCTGAATAAAACAACCTAGGAATTCTATGTTGATCATTTGACCTATGAACACATTGCATATCTCTTCTATTCTGGTTAGGGGTGAATTAAATCCACACGCATCCTGATGATCTTCATATTGTCATTTACAAAAATCGTGTTTGGCACATTAAAGGCACCATTCAGGTACTTATTTGTTATGTTTTTGGTATAGTTATGTTTAGTTTCCTCAATTTTATTATCTTTTGCTGGATTTTTTAACGTATTGTTTCTGTGTAGAAATATATAGCTTATTATTTTTAATCAATTTATTTATTGCGTGTATGCTCTCAGTTGTTCAGTGTATGCATTCTCTCAAGTGTTCTCTAATGTACTCTATAACAGGCTAATTAGAAGACCGTTTAGATTAGTAAATCTTTTCTGTTGTTATTACTGTAAATTAAAAAGATTGTACTTTTTCTGCTGGAATATCACCAAGCACGCACAAGTAAGAATAGCCAAACTCAATGAATGACATTGCACTCTTTAGGACAAGCCTTTAATATCCAACATAGGTGATCTATGGGAAGATGCATGATAGGAACGTTGAGATTTTAGCTACTTCTTCTATTCTTTAATTGCAGTGGAAAATCAAAATTGACACCAGTATAAATGGAGTGGGAACTAATGCAAATAATTTTACCAAAACAAAAATTAACATAGTAAACAGTTTAATTATAAAAGAACTTAAGCAGAACATTGCAGCACGTGAATACAACAACAACACCCAAGCCTTAATTAGTTCCAAACGATTTTGGGGTCGGCTAACATGAATGGATACATGATATCGCAACCAAAAGGAAAAGAAAGATGAAAAAGATAAAAAGATAAAAAAAAAAGCTAGGATAACAAAAGGATAATATGAAAAGAAATGGATATAGATTACAAATGATAGAATAAAAAGGATAACAAAAATTTTATATATATATATATATATATATATATATAATATAGGGTAAGGTTCAAGTGAGAAGAACCCTTTGGGTGAGAAATGAGAATGAATCTCAGTCATTGGATTTGACTAAGTTGCAGTAAAAGACACTTCATGATGCACTGAAATATGCAATCTAGCACGGTGGCATTTCTGTAAATACTTCTGAAAAATCCGTATTACACGTGTCTAGTGCAACATGAAGCTATTTCGGTGCATCGCCGTCAAATATTAGTGCAACATGAAACAGTTTTAGTGCAACAAGTGCAAAATTTAAATATTACTGCAACATAAAGCCAATTTTAGTACAACTTCGTAAATCCAATGGCTGAGATTCATTCTCATTTCTCACATTAGATGCATTTCTCACCTGAACCAAAATCTATATATATATACACATATATATATATATATACATATAAAGGATAAAAAACAAGAAAGTAAAAGAAGATGAGGAAAAAAGATGATAAGGGAAAAAGATGATAAGAGATCACTCCTCCACACGAATACTCGTCTTCCACCTTGGCAATTCATATCCTACACTTTGTATTTTTGTAAATATACCAACTTCAAGCTAACCTTTGAATAAGCATTGGCTCCATCCTCTTTCCTCTTCCGCAAGCATCCTCTTCGCTCCATCCTCTTTACTCTTCCACGTGCATCCTCTTTTCTTTCCTTTCTTCCTCTTTTCTTTCCTCTTTTTTTTTTTTTCTTCCGCCGCCATCCTCTTATTTCTTTTCTTCCATCGCCATCCATCATCCATTCCTGATTCTTACCTTCTAATTTTTTCTTTTTTTTGCTTGTTGGTTATACTTTCTTTTGTTTTGTCTTTTTTTACTTGTTTTAGTTTCTTTATTTGTTGTTTACTTCTTTCTTATTCTTTATATATTATACTGAGGACGTTGGAAATTAGTTATACCTTAAACTCAAATGAGTAAAACGCCTAAAAAATGATCATAAACAAATGAGCTTTTGAAATTTTGGATACTCATTTTGTAAATTATGTATGTTCATTTACTATCTGTGTTATGCTCATTTTTAAAATGTGTTAGCAATGCATATCTCAAAAGTATCATATAACATTATATTTATATAAGAGTTGATTATAGACACGAGACCGCAAATCATGATACTCAAATCACAGATTCTATTACTCAATAACGGAGGTTTGATGCTCACTGAAAATGTCTTGATGTTCAATGAACAAAACTTACAATTTTCATATTAATGCTAATCTTGTAAATTACATGTGCTCATTTGTATAGCACTACAAAAAAACATCGAAATAGGCACGAACTTGGCACGGATTGGTCAAGTTTGGCACGGATTGCAACTTATTTTTGGCACAGCGCCGTGCCAAATAGCTGGTGACTAAATGACATTGGCACGGAATTTGGCACGGAATTTGGCACGGAATTTGGCACGGATTTAACGCATCCTTGTCAAATCCGTACCAAATACCCTATGAATTTTGTCAAATCCGTGCCAAAAATCCGTGCCAAAATCATTGTTTTTTAGTAGTGTAGGTCCGATGCTCATTAAAAATTCCTTAATGCTCATTTTACAGAAATAATGATTTTCATCGATGTCAATAGAGAAGGTTTGATGCTCAATGAAAATGTCGTGATGCTCAACTAATAAATCAACTAACAAATTAATTAATACTGGTTTTGTAAGTTACGTGTACTCATCTGGTACTAATTTTATGCTCATTTTATAAATATTGTATCAATGCATTTTTTTTAAAGCACTATTTTATTTTAGACTCCGAGTGCTCAACATAATAGGTTTGATGCTCATTAAAAGATCATTAATGGTCATTCACAGGAAATTGTGATTTTCATCTCAATAACGGAGGTTTGATGCTCAATTAAAATGTCGTGATGTTCAACTAACAAACCTTACGATTTTCACATCAATGTGTACTTTGTAAGTTATGCATGCTCATTTTGTACTGATGTTATGCTCATTTTTACAATGTCATATCAATGCATATTTCAAAAGTATCATATTACATTAGACTCGCATATTGAAATTAATAAGAGTGGATTATAGATATAATTTAATAAGTTTTTATAAGAAAAAATAAGAAAAAGAAAAACAATTAGAAGATATGAAGCAGAGATCGTGATACTCATTGTTGGCCTCCTAATACGCAATAAAATAGGTCAGATGCTCACTAAAAGTACAATATTGCTCATTTAGCGGAAGTCGTATTTTTTGCTTAAATTAAAAAAATGTCACCGAAAAATTGGCATGTATTAGTTGTTGGGCTCTCTTCGTAGGGTGTACATACACCCGGATGTATGATATAGGCACTCCTCCACCTTGGTCTCTAAAAGAATGTTATGGTATTTAAAAGAATAGTTTACTTTCGTTTATGTGAGATAGTCCCCCGTCCCCCTAACTTTGTCCCATTTTACCTTTTTCGTCCGTCCATTAAGTTTGTTTCATACCATATTTGATATTATTTGGGTGGTTACAATTGATTCTTACTTTATTCACACTTTATCAATTCAATATCAACCACATAATTCCACTTTTTCTTAAAAAATGTGTCACGCTCCTTTATCTCAAACATAGTGGGACGGAGATAGTATTATTTTGGAAATTAACAGTCACACCGGTCACTAGATCAAATTAGTAGGAAATAGATCCGACTGGAACTCTATATTACGGAGTATAAATTTAAAAGCTCCCTCTTAGGTTTGGAAAACTGCAACTCTTAAATCTTAATAATTAAATTTGCACATGTGAAATCCTTTATTGGGATAGGATGATTTTGTGTCTTGGTTTTAAAATGCAAAAATGTAGTAGTTACATTTTCATTTTTCTTATAACTACTTGTTTAATAAGAGCCTTTAATTCGTGGGTCCTCTTGCAGCTAAAGGTTTAACCTGCTTTCGTAACCTAATAGTGATGACTAAATATAAAGCCCTTTGGTAACCCCTTTTTTCGGCTTATCAGGCTTATCAACCAATTTTTCACCAAACACATTAATTTTGATTTTGCATGCTGAATTGTGTAATAATAATAATAATAAGTAAGGTTGGAGTTGCTTGAAAAAGTTGGCCGAACACTTCCAAAAACAATCTATTCCAGGTACTGGCGCAACTGCTACTGAAGAAGACGATGATGACGTGCCTGAGCTGGTGGAAGGTGAAACCTTTGAAGAAGCCGCTGCAGTTGAAGATCATAAGTAAAACTTGCCTAGTTTTTGTGTGATTTGAGTACATTTTTGTTAATTATCTATGCTTCACCGTTGTTTATTGAAACAATGCTTGAACTCTACAAGTATTGAATTCACTTAAAAAAAACTTTTAATTTGTGGTTGTATTGACTGAAGTTATTGTAGATGATCATTTCAGTTAGAACTTCATAAATTTTAGCAGAATCAACCAATTCAGCCAATTTCAGTGTTACCAAACGAGCTCATAATCCCAAAATTAGTTTGAAGTATCAATGAAACTACTAGATCACATTTTAAAAAATGGTTCACAAACCTACCCATAAAACTTACACTACAACAAAAAGTATTAATTATGTCCAAAGATTTCGTGTTGACATATGTGGACACGAACAATAGTTTCGGAAAAAAATTCCAAACAATTATGAAAAAAAGTTTTCGTGAATAGTATTCTTGTTGATGCTAATGATATTTACGAAACCCTAGCTACACTCATTGAGCTTGTGAGTTGTGAGCCTATCTTTGCTTCGTTCAGTTGTTTTATGTTTTGAATCAATGGGTCCGCTAACAGCTAACTAGCTACTCCTGGTACGAGTTCAGTGTTTCCTTTTACTTACATAAAAGGAAACTACTCCTGGTACGAGTTCAGTGTTTCCTTTTACTTACATAAAAGCTACTTACAAAATCTTTTCTTTCGAGTAATTAGAATCTTTCTAGGTTGAATCACAAGATAAGTTAAGAGACCTTCAAGCTTTTCTATCGACTTTGATTATACAAATTTTTACCTTATGAAGGACTGTTGTATGCTCAATTTTTGCTACTGCAATTTCAACTATTTTCATCATGGAAATCATTTTAAATAAAAAAAAGTAGTACACAAGTTAAAGGAATACTTCATTAGATATGTCCACATTTATACTCCGTAATACATTTTGATACGTGCGCTTGGGTTTATATTCCTAAAGAGATTAGGTACAACAACAACATCAAGCCTTATGCCCTAATTCTCAAAAGAATTTGGGGTTGGCTAACCTAAAAAGATTAGGGAAAGTACACTAAACTCCTTGACATCTCGGTGAGCGACTGATTAGGCTTTTCAGCCAAGAAATAGCAATTGTTTGCTAATTTTTCAGTTGATTTCCATTTTTCAGAATGAAATCGGAATTCTGTGTTTCTTATAAAGTCCAAGTAATCTCCTAAAATTACTGATAGCAAGAAGAAAACTTAAAAAGTTTAATAACAACCAAATACAGTGCCCTCAATAAAATTATTAATTTTTCCATGCTATTACTTCCTCATTTTTGGAATAAACAATTTTAATGTTTGCCATGATGTGTATTCATGCTTATACATTGTTATATACATTGTTCTTATTGTTGTTGATTGCTAACCCTGGTTAAAAGTTCATCACAATTTATGCATTATTTATTGAATGGAGTGGTATCCATCCTTCAACTTGCTCATAGGTCAATAGTTGTGGATGACCTATGTCAATTGTTTTGTATGACAAATTAGTTCAATTTAAGGAATGCATAGTAAATGTTGTGGCTTCCAACATAGGGCAAATTGAGGCCCAGAGTTCTATTTCAATGAATAGATTCCACTTTTGGCCTACGCGTTTTGCACCAATTTCACAATTGATTCACGTCTTTGATTTTGATCACTTTTGATATATGACTATTGTATTTTTGTCCATATATAGTCCTTCTGTCAATGTTTCTGGAGGTTAAAATTGCTAGAAAAGGATCACAAATGGTTAATAAATATTAGTCAAGAACCAAAAGCGGACAAAGTGAAAGATGTGACTAAATGTGAAATTAACATAAAACTAAAATGACCACAAGTGGAATTAACTCTATTTAAATGGACATATGTATTTATTTTTAAGGTTTCACATTTTTCTTTTCTTTGCCAACAAAAAACGAATTGCAAAATATAATTAAAGATTTGGGTTGCACAATACATTGGGCACAAAGGTAGGATGCCTATTTCTATTCTTTATTCAAAAATAATAAAGGGAATCAATCATTAGAAGTAGTAGTATTGAGAAATATATTACTTAAAAATAGGATGGACATATTGATATTTGTTGTTGTACTAAATATAAATATATGATTAAAAATATTACAATACAAAATTTTACACATTTTGGAAAATGTATGAATACATTTAATTTATAATTACTTTGAATAACACCACCTTTTATATGACAATGTCTACCACCTCTTTTATTTTGTAGCTCAAAGCTGAACTCTTTAACGTTAACCCGACATAAACAAGCGATTTCAAACAAAAAAAAAAACTAAATTCCAACAAAATGTGACACATGCATATTGGATTAAGTCAATATAGTTCGTGTTTGGTAGAGATAAGCTCTTAGCCTCTTTGTAGTTTTTATACTTTTTAAAAATGTCTAAAATCTTTTAGGACATATTCACTTCACGGGTTACTAAACGGTGTTTACTAAGACCCGCGTTAATAAACGACGAATAAAATAAGCAACGTTGTAAGATCGTGTTTACTTCACAAGGTTTAAAACATCGTTTATCATTAAAATATTCAAAATAACCTTATACATATATAGACACACAAACATTCATGAACACAAGTATTATATGCATACAGATCCTACTAAAGAGATTTTCGGTCAAACCAGAATGAGAACAAAAAGGCCATACGGCAGATCAAATTAAATTAATGCGCCGAGATTGATATCTATATTGCACAGGAACGGATGGGATAATGAAAATTTCACATTCATAACCATTGATTCACTTGCACATACTCGTATATAACAATGAGAATTCATAAGAAACATTTGGGTACTATACGGTGTAGATGGATCCATTAATATAATCGAAAACGAAATCCGAATGTGCAGTACCTTTTTGGAACTCAAAAGCAGCGACGGAGAAAATTGAAGAAAGATTTGAGATAGACGACACAACTTCTTCTTCTTCGTCTTCTGCGAATCGATCGATCAATCGTATTAATTAGCGATAGATCAGTGCGGTTCTCTTCGGTCTTTGAGTGGGAACGAAGGCGTTGGAGTTTTGCATGGAGATTGAAGAAGAAACGGGAGCCATTGGAAGTAGGGTCATATTAATGGATTTACCAAGTTTTTAATCTTGTGTAGTACTAGTATCTTCCATCCATTTTTATGTGTTTCACTTTGACTTGACATAATTATAATTAATATATATGCTGGTTGAAAAAGTAAGTTGTTGTTGAGGTTGAGTATAATAAAGTGAAATGGTGTATGTCACATATTTCTTTCCAAAAAAAGAAAGAAGATAGTAATTTGGGACAACCCAAAAAGGAATTTAGAATAGGTAAAATGGGATGGGGGCAGTAAATGTTTTTAATTGAACTGAATTTTGCTGATCCGATTTGGTTTGATCTGAACTGGCCTGATTTGATTTCCTAAATGTATGATCTTTGTGTATTTTTTAACTATAGAAGTCTGATATGGCTTGTTCTGATCTGTTTAAATCTAGTATGTTTTGTTTACGTTTGGTCTGATTTGATCTGGGACCGTAAACAGACCAACTTAAAATTATATAAATCTTTGATGATACGGACAAATAACTTTATATACTATGTTCATTAAAGTGTAATCTTTACATAATATCCTCCGTAATAAGTAATATCCTCTTTTTTTAATATAAAAGAATGACTTTTTATATTAATATATCAAGAAATCATACAAGACATTCTTCAGACAGTTATGACAAAGCTGATCAAAAGCCTTAGGAACAGACATAGAATCAACCACTTTATACAAATAACCTGATTCGCTAAACACAAAATAGACAAATTTAAGCCTAAATAATTGGAACTGAAATAATTCCCATTGAAAGTTTTGTAGAAAATCTAAACATCCAAACTAAATCTACTCGAAGTAAAATAAAGATAAATACTACTAAAGGAAAAATAAAATTGTAATAAAACCTTTTCACGAAACTCTTTCTTAGCATGGAGGTGGTTCTGGAAGAGGGTGATCTCTACCATTTTCTATGTAGGCTAAATGAATGCATATAGAAACCCCTAACCAGAGAAACATATTAGGCCACCAAAATAACTCCCCACAGTGAGGAAGAGAAATGAAACAACCTGGATAGAACAGCCATAGCACAGAATAAATACAACCAGAAAGGAAGAATAGTTGAATTTGATTATTTGATCATACGCCTACGGCCTACCAAGATTCTCTGAGAGCCGATGTCGGTGGTGCATGTTGTATGCATTAGTCTTCCCCTCGCCACGTCCGGAAGTAATACTCCTCGATCTTCTGAAATTAATAATGCAATTAAGTCATACAGGATAAGATTTTGAAATTAATAACAAATCTTTTGTCTCATGTAATTTTTCTTTGAAAGATTTTGAAATTAATAATGCTATGCAGGGGAAACCTTTCTTGAACTGTTTCTTCAAAAGTTTGCTTCAACTACCGGCCATGAAGTCATCGGATGTCTACCTTGATAGGTTCAAGAATAATCATCTTAATTTGGTATCCAATCTTTGCTCTTCTATTTATATAATTATCCTATGGTTATGTTTGGTACGATGTAATCAACCAAGTAATGTAATGAGCATTACATGTTGATTTGATTACGGTGTTTGGTATGTCATTTTATTTCAAACCGTAATGTAATGGTCAATGCACATGTGGAACTCAGTACTTTGATATTTGTAATAAGCATTACATTAAACAAGACGTGTATTTGAGATTACAGCTTATACCACGTAGGGGTGACCCGAGCCCTGGTCAGGTCGGGCCCCTGGACGGGTTTGGGCGGGGCTAAAAGTTTGGGTTGCAAGTGTAATGACCGTCCCCAATTGGCCATTATGATACTCAACCATAAAAGAGACTCGATAAACCACACGGAAATAAGGACACAAAGTCTCGTCATGAAACTTTATATCTTATATACATAACCAAATCTCATAACGAAAACGTCAAATAACCAAAAGAAAATGTCTTTAAGCAAAACATTTACACCTGATCAGGATTTTAAAACAAATATTTACATAACCCATAGCAATACCGTAGTACTAAAAACAAAACATAATAGATTGTCCGATCTTCTCCGTTAACTCATCCAAAACCTTGTCGTCGACTCCATACATTCTCTCAGGCGCTTCTGTATCTCGTTTATTACCTATACATGAGAACATAAGTGAATAGAATCTCGTAAGAAATAATGCTTAGTAAGTCACTATTTCATCCACTACAACATTTAGGGAATCTTAGCTAATCATAAATAAATACCCATGCTGAATACTCCAAACATATACTATAATCACACATGATAACAACACATAAGCATTCATGTATCAAACACCAAGAGATTTCCTTATTCATCATTCTTCCTTCTTATCTTATACCTTGACGTACTTTATGGGCATGTAGCTCGTGTCATGGCCCCTCGCTGATGACCATAGGTAGCTAGCCCTCAGCCATCAGAAGCAACCCCGAGACTCCCCGCAGAAGGAGATTCCGCTACGCTTAGCTCAGGTAGTTACTTGGGGGCACGGCTACCTTGTAACATTACTTATCTTTCGTTACTTTCATTACCATCATAATTTCCTTTCACTGTTGGTTCCATATGAACCCAACCCCAAACCAAACATAGAACTTGAAATTCACATATCTCATGTCATACAATTTCAAGTATTCATGCACATACATCACATTCACAATATTCCATAACTTAACAATTAACACCACCTGTCAATCGGTACATATAACTTGGAATTCACATATTTCATACCATACGATTTCAAGTACAATGCACATATATCATATTCACAATTAGCTAATATTCCACATTTTATTTAGAACTATCATGCATAGGTGGTGGTGACTTACCTGGTTCCTGCAGAGTATATACTATTGTGTGTGCGTGTCCGGCATCCACGAGCAACAGTTCTTCGATGAGCAACTATATATATATATATATATATATATATATATATATATATATATATATATATATGATTTACACTTGATCAACATAGTTTCACATTTATTCAAACTTAAATCCATGTTTGTAGGAAAATCCCTAGACTTAAAGATGAGGGGAAGTTCATCAATCAGCCCCTACAAGTGAGAAAACTCTCAATTTCCTACATAAAATCAGGCATAGATTCGGGGTGGCTAGATAACTAAGAACCGATCACTACTAGAAAAATGCCTTAAAGTGACACTTTAATAATGACACTTTTAAAAAAATGGCTTTACTAACATAGAAGTGTCGCTATGATTTCACAAATATATCAACGACACTCTGAAGACAGTTTTTTACGGAGTATTTGAACTCGCTGTAATTCGTACGGAGTACTACTTACTTGGCGGCATCTCACATTTCAACGAAAGTTTTTTACACTTTACGCCTAACTTTTCCACCGACACTCTCCCATAGCTTGTTAATTTCTAACCCTAACTCTCTAATCCCAACCCTTCCATCTCCATCCATTATCTATTTTTTTGGCTTTGCAGCTTGACTCCATCTCCTCACCAAGTGTCCATTGTCAACGATTGTACGGGAGATCTGGCCACAGCTTCTACAAACGCGACAGAATCCGCAGAGTCGGACCAAACGGGATGCTCCACCGACACGTACCGGGAGATCTGAAAATCCAGAGACCCAAGGGTCCGCTCTGGTGCAGCGCAACCGCGAGAGTTGTCCTCGGTGAGCTTCTCCCTCAACCGGCCATCGAAGTTGGAGAAAATCTGAAAAATATCATCATTCATGGTATCAGTGTGACCTAGAGTCTTCGCTATGTGTCTGGCCACTGCTATCAGCTTCTTTTCTCCATTTTCAGCCGTCCCCACCAAGGCAAAACAAAAAAGATAGATTTTTCAGAATTGGGTTTTCTAGATTTGTTAATAGCGGAAGCAAGCTCAAGACTAGCTGTTTGACGGACGGAGATGCTACTAGCCAGCAAGTATTCGATCTTTAGCTTAACACCTCTATCTTTACCTCCTTTGATTTGCAGGTATGCCAATGAAAATTGCTGGTATGGCAGGTAATGGCGAAGTCAATGAAAATTGCGGGTAGTTGTAATGTGAGATGCCGCCAAGTAAATTGTTCAGAGGCCACTACCGCTATAGCGGCCGCTATATAGCGGTCGCGGTAGAGGCCGCTACCGCTACAGCCCGCTATTCGTGTGTGATTTCCAAATCACGGGAAAAATCCGCTACGCCGCCCGCTACAGCCCGCTACAGCCCGCTATAGCCCGCTACAGCCCGCTATTGACATTTCCGGCAGTACATCACAAACGGTTTGATGTGTAAATGTGTAAATGTTGTGTGAATGATGTGAAAAAAATACATAATGGTGATGCATGGAGTGAAACTCAAAATTAAATGTTGTGTGAATGATGTGAAAAAAATACATTTATGTTTTGCGCAATTGAAAATATTTCACGCCGCTGCAACCGCTACAGTCGGCTACATGCCGCTACAGGCCGCTACCGCGATGACCGCTACCGCTATCGCTGCCGCTACGGCTATTTAAAACCTTGTTTACAACACTCTGTGCAACGCAGACTTTTTGTTCATGTGTAAATTATTCCAACTTTTATTTTCGCCTCAACTTATTTCTTTTTCTTTTTCTGAGGCTTGAATCAGGAAGCAGAGTGTGAATGTTTAGAATTTGAGTATGTCTTTAAGCAAGCAGTTGCTAAAGGACTAAGGTTGCTTGTTGGTTTAATAAAAAATCAATTTTTACTTAAATCTTTGAGGAAACTCTATTGGCTATGTCAGAAAATATGGATTAGCTTGAAGAAAAGTTAGGTTGTTCAACATCATACCTTCTTGATTTTATTTTTAGCAGTCTTATCTCTTAATATACTCTATTTGTTTAATACGGAGTAGTTAATATGTGTTGACCAGTTTTTGAATTAAAAATTCATTATTTCAGTTGTTATAACAGAGAAAATGTGCTATGCACATATATGAATTAATGCAGTTTATAAAGCAAAGGAAGCGATATTGGAAGCCGTCTAAACATATGCAGTTTATGGTGATGGATGGGCTGCATCCTCAAAATGCACCTCTTTATATGGACAGTCACTACA